GACGGGTCACGCCTGTGCCCCCAGCTCCTGGTTTAAACGCCCCAGGGATGATTGGGACATTTGAATGGCTAGGGCCATCAACGCTCTTGTTGACTTTTATGAAAATCAGTTTCTTTGCCTGAAAGTTTCTAATCCTCCGACTGTTCAGGGACATCAGCTGTGGGAAGCAGGTTCGTTCATTTCCTCCTATTCGGACCCGCGCAGGTGCTCCACCGGTCCCTCCCTACACCCGGAGGGAGGAGAGGGCGCGGCCCCCATTCCCAGCAGGGGAGCCAAGCCCCAGAGATCTTCCTTGTGTAACAAGTCCACGGGGACTGGACTGGAACTCCAGCCCGACCCCAGGTCCCTGACTTGTGCGCCCCGGCCGGTCCTTGTTTCAGACGTAATCCAGGCCGCCTGCCTCAGCCCTTGCCTGGGAGTGATGTAAACAAGTTCAGGATGTTCTGAGAAACAGGCAAGGTCAGATCGCCTGCGACGCTGTTTCCAGGCAGATAATTTCCGACCCTCGACTTCGTTCTGAGTTAGTACTTCGAGGAGCTGGACTTCATAAAACCTTTTATGCCAAAGAGATACTACCAAAAATTCATTTTCAAAAACCAACAAAGGACATGGGGTCTACTGTATTTACAATCTGCAGTTCGTCCTCAAAGCCAATTGATTTTTCCCTGAATATACTTATATGGATAACAATAGTTATGCATTCTAAAACGTTAAAAAAATTCAGACATAAAATCATAGCATCTATTCAAACAACCTTGCCCTTATAATAAGGCTTCTCATTTCCTTCTTCCACCCCCCGCCCCCGCCTGGGGGGTGTGCATCCCTGCTGTGAGGGAGCAGGCTCCTGCCCCGCCCCCTCCCCCACCCCCACCCCCACGCCTGTCCTGACCTCAGGTGTGACTCCGCCCTCAGGGGCTCACCGCCCCCCAGGGAGCAGTGAGTGCTCAGCCCCCACCTGGACTTACCGGGCGGACAGGCTTACCCACCCTCTCAGCCTTGCGCTCAGGTGCCATGGGAAGGAATGGTCACCTCTGTTTGGAAGTTGCTTTTACGAACTTTAACAAGAAGAGGCAGGTACCTAGCACACGTTCAGCCTCATAGAGGATGTCTGGTCTTTGGTGCTTGGTCATTTTCACGTTGAGCCGGCCTGGCTCTGTGGCTGCCCTGCCCCCACTCTAGCCTGCACCATCCAACAAGCAGATGGGGCCTGCGAGCCCAGCCTCGGAGGGAAAGGGGACGACGTGGCAGATGGGTGAGCTGAGGAGCAGCGGACACAGCACATGGGGTGGCTTTTTACGCCACTCTGATTCCGTAGGTATTTGCATAGCTGCCGAGTCCTGTCTTGAGGTGGAGGAGGAGAGGTGAGCTCCGTGAGGGGGTTAATTGCTAGGACAGGGCCTTTCACCATTTTCTAGGGCCCTTTTCTATGATCTGGGACCGATTCAGGAGGGCTGAGGAGGCAGTGTGGTCTCGGCGCCCTGGAGGTGTGGGGCGGGGGCAGGGGGTGAGGGAGAGAGCCTGAACCAAGCGATGTGCCTGGGTGGGGGTAAGAATGAGAGGGCTTTGCACTTGGCTTAGTGCGAGGAGCTGGGGGTGGGGGGTAGGAGGAGAGAGGCAAAGCGGGGGAGCGGGGACGGAAGGAAACTGCTTGGGACGACGGGTGCATGATGCAGTGCGCAGGTGATGTTTGGTTGAGCTGCGCACTTGAAACCTGTATGGTTGTATAAACCAATGTCACCCCAATAAATTCAACTAAAAAAGGAGCTTGTGGTGCTGATGTCTGTCCCCTGAAAGGGCTGACTCAGGTCTCCCTCCACCCTCACTGGAAGGTGTCTGAGGCCGAACTGACAACACCTGCCCTCCATGGGTCCTCCACGTGACCTCCGCTTAACCTGGCCCAGCAGGCAGAGCTGGGCCCTGTCTTCTTTAACGCTGGGCACACCGAAGCTCCTAGGGCTTAATTGTGTGCCTGTCCCTTTCACTTGTGGATTGAGTATCTGCTGTGTGCCAGGTATTCGTTCAGGTGCTGAAGGTATGGCAGTCAACACGGGTGGTATTCTCCGCACACAGGTGACCTCGGCCCCCTGCCCGTCGACTCCTGTAGGGGAGGAATGAGGCCACTGGTCACCCCGAGATCACAGCCAGAGTCACACATTGAATAAACATGCAAAAGTATAGGAAAGTGAACGCTGAGTGTTCCGGTGGTAGCGAGGGAGGTGGGAGCAGTGGAGGGGGGTGCTACTTTCTTTAGGATGCTTAGGCAAGGCCTCTTTAATCAAGTTCATTTGAGCAGAGACGTGGGAAAAAAGTGAGCTGCACACTTGTCTGGGGAAGAGGACTGGGGGCAGGGACCAGGGGAGAACCTACCTGCGCAGAGGCCCCGGGAGGGACCGAGGTCAGTTAGTGATCTGAGGGACAGAGAAGGGGCTGGGATGGACAGGGAATGTGGCTGAAGATGTGGTTGAGATGCCTGCAGGCCACCCTGTAGCCTCGGCGAAGACGTTGGCCCCACTTCAACGAGTTTTGGCAGAGGAACCAGACTTGGTCCTCTGGTTCCAGTTTAGTGCTCATTCCGCTGGACTGTCCCTTGTCACACAGATGGATGGGCTTACTATTAGCACTGCTGTTATTTCCACTGCGATAATTATTCCCACGGCTACCCTGCTGCCAGACCGAATGTGGGGATGCGGTGCCCGCCCACCGAGGGTCTCTGATTCCCCTCCAGTCCTGGGGCATGCAGTGAGGCTGGGGTGGGTCAGCGCCGCCACCACCTGGGATGAGAAAAAGCAAAAGGTAGAGGGGGATGGGGGTTTCCTCGGTGCAAGTCCAGGGAGTGCGCCTAGACTCTTCCTGTCTTTTCAGACCGTTAGCCGTCGGGGGGCAAGATCATATACGCTATAGATCACAGCAGGGCCTGGGTGAGAAATATAAAAGAGTGGCTGCTCTCTATTACAGACTTCCAGAATGTTCATTCTGGCACAGATTGTAAGACTGTCTTGATAAGATAGGTGCACAGCAATGAAAATACACTTAAAATGGTTAAAATGGGAAATTTTATCTTATGTGTATTTTACCACAATTTAAAAAAATAACCCTAAAATTAAAAACAAAGAAAGACTACCTTGCCCAACTCTCTTCGTTAAGGACGAGAAACAGAGAGGTTAAGTGACTCGTCCACAGCAACACAGCAGGTGAGAGAGTTCTGGCTTCAGTCCGCCCTCCTGGCTCCATTGACCTCCAGCGCCTTGTCCATTGACCATTCCGTGTCTTGCTCACTGGCAGAAATGAGGACAGGGAAGTTGTCACTCCTGCCTTGCAAATAGGAGATCTTAAAATCAACTAAGGATTTTTTTTTTTTACCTTTTCTATGGAGAGCTCCCAGCAAATTTCCCTGGATTAATTTCAGCCGCACCTCCCTTCTGAGGCTCTCCAAGTAGCTGTGCTGATTGACCTAAAAGGCTAAGACCCTCAGTAGGAGGAAAGGAGGGAAATAGCTATGAATGGACATGAGTCGCAAGCTCCAATTTAGGATTAAAGCATTATGGTGGTTTTTCCAAACACTTTGCTATTCTCCGCTCCTCTGAGCCTCATGACACCTGGGGCGACAGGGTAGATACTTTGCAGTGCACTTTTGAGATGAAGGAACCAACGCATGTGGCTGATATGGACCTTGTAGGACCTTGTTGGTGCTACTTATGAGGTTCTAACCCCTAACTCCCATCCCTCCTGCCTGCCCTATGTCACCTTCGTGGCAAGCCTTAATTAGTGTGATGGAATGGGATTAACCAGGTTTCTGGGGCTTGAGAACCACTGGATCTCTGCACTGGAGGCAGCATTCTGGCCAGGAGAGTCGGAGAAGGATTTCGGTTTTAGGCACTGAAAGGTAGTAATTCCAAGTTTTCTCCTTAAAGAATGGCAAGACAAAGAAGCAGGGGTGCTCAGGAGGCTGCTGGGCTAGGCAGGGAGCAGTGGGCTCGGAGCTCAGGGTGCCCAGTGGAGGGCAGCCCTTCGTCCTGGCGCAAGTCCCTGCAGGTCCTGGTCCTCAACTTCATTCACTGGAAATTAGGTCTAGTTAATGAGAAGAATTCAGCTCCTTTCCAAAAGTATTTACTGAGCACTTCTTTTATTTTATACCTAATGGTGATATCAAGGCCTACTGTATAAAGCTACGTTTCAGGGACTTGGAGTTTAATGAGATTTCTCCACCTCTGTTCTTACCCAGGGCACCCAGGAGAGTCCTACATTCCCGTCAGCCAGCACTGTGGTCCTCAAATGATGGGGGGAAGATTGGGGACAGGGTGACAAGTTTGAGAAGGATCTTGGGCTTGTGTTGTTATTCAGACAGGCACCCATGCACACAAGTGCGCACATGGTTGACCTAGGAAGACGTAAGGCCTTCAGGTCTTTTTCTCGGTTTCCCAGCTAAAAGGCTTTAGGCAAGTTACTCAAACCCGGAGTCTCAATGTTCTTATCTGTAAAATAGGATAGTAACATTTTCCTTGTCTGACAAAAGCATTGTTGTGAGTCCAGAATGCACTTGAGTAATGTGAAAGGTCCTTGCAGACTATATGTCACATAAGCCAGAAGTTTACCGGAAGTGGTGGGCAGAACTTCCGTCAGCTTTCTAGTTGGTTGGATCTGAGTTCCAATCTCGTGAATCCCAATCATCTCTCAGGTGGGACTCTGAGAAACTTCCTTAATCTCTTGTTCCCTCAGCACTAAGATGGGGCGATAAAGTTATTCGTAGTTTATTTACTTGCTGAAGGTTAGAGTCTCCTAATAGATTGTAAGCTTCCTGCAAAGTCCTTGTCAGTCTTGTTCACTCCCATGTCCCCAGCTCTGGAAGAGCATCTGGTACCTAGAAGGTGCTCAGTAAGTGATGCTTAGCTGCTTGAATGAAGGAGAGTCACGGGCAACCCAGCAAGAGCTATGATACAACGATGGGGTCCTAACATTTCTGAGCACCCTTAGGAGCTCATCTGTTGCTCCCTTTCTTGCAGGACTCGGGTCAAGCTGGAAAGCCTGGAAGATGCCTACATCCTGCGGGGCGATGATGACTCCCTCTCCGACAAGCACGGCTGCCCGGCTTACGTGAGCCCGGAGATCTTGAACACCAGTGGCAGCTACTCAGGCAAAGCCGCCGACGTGTGGAGCCTAGGGGTGATGCTGTACACCATGTTGGTAGGGCGGTACCCTTTCCATGACATTGAGCCCAGTTCCCTCTTCAGCAAGATCCGGCGTGGCCAGTTCAACATTCCAGAGACTCTGTCGCCCAAGGCCAAGTGCCTCATCCGAAGCATCCTGCGGCGGGAGCCCTCTGAGCGGCTGACCTCACAGGAAATTCTGGACCATCCTTGGTTTTCTACAGATTTTAGCGTCTCGAATCCAGGATATGGTGCTAAGGAGGCATCTGACCAGCTGGTGCCAGATGTCAACATGGAAGAGAACTTGGACCCTTTCTTTAACTGAGCTCACGCCCCAAAGAGACGGAGCTGGTACCAGGAGCGACAGAGGGCAGCAGAAAGGAGTTCTTCCAGGGAACACATGTCACCTGGCTCGGTAGCAAGAAAGACACTGACACTCACAGGTTTCTTGGTTCAGAGAAGGAAAATCTTACAGGAGCTGGCGGAACATGTAGCAGGAGGGCAAGTGGTGTGGGGACGGGGCTCAGGCTCTGGGGTCAGGTTGGGGGCAGAGCCCCTGGAGCTCCTCCTCCCTGATGTGGCCCCAGAGACCACCCCCGTCAGTTAGGCTCCGCCCACCCCACTTTTCATTTTGTTCAAAAATAGCTGCAGATCCTGACAGAATCAAAACTCTGCCTCAAACACACATCTTGGCATCGCACTGTTAGCATTCAACTTCTTGTCATGATTCAGGGAAGGTACAATTGGCCAAGGGTTTTGTTTTGTTTTGTTTCGTTTTTCCTTTTTAAACAAGCCAACCGCCTATCTGATAATTAATTTTCACTTAAAAAAAAAATTCGGTGCACACAGACTGACACGAAACCTGGGTGCTAAACTAAAAGAAAATAGAAGTCCAGTTTGTGTCTCTTAATCACTCTCTTCATCTCACTTCTTCTAAATAAACTATTCAGTATCCCAGTCAGGAAATGAGATGTTAATTCTTTGCTCCCTGAAGGGGGGAAAGAAAATCTGTCCTTTAATAAGCTATTCTGTTTTTTGTGAATTGGTTTGTGGCAGGAAGCTATTAGAAGTCAAACTTCCAGATGCATTACTGCTGTCATAATTTAAAGAACAAAAAAAAAAAGGAAGAGAGGAAAAGAGACATCGGACTCCTTAATTGTTTTTTCTTTTGAATGAGGAGGGTGGCAGACAGGCATCCTTTTGGCTGAGGTGGAAGCAGAGCGGTGGTATGAGGTGGTGGGAAACTTTTGGAGTCTGAAGCTTTTGCAACCCTTGGCTCTCAACTAAACATTTTTGTCTTTGCTTTATTGGAGACTAGTGTAACAAAGCAGGTTGTCCCACATGTATCAAATACAGGGCAGCTATTTCGTTTTCTTTATGAAGAATGATCCTTTTGTCTTGGAAGGCCCTCTGGTTTGGACAAAAACCTTCGGTAGAGACAAGCGGGAAAGAAAATAAGCTGAAAGCTAGGGTGATATAAATAAAAACAGCTCTCTATCCCAATACGCACCTTTGTATCTTCAAGAACTCTTCTATTTATTAAGGAAAATGTCACATTGTGATGTATTAAGCCAGTATTTCAATTACGGGTTGACTTGGGATGACATGTTACATGCTGTTGTTAACATTTATATATATATTTTTTTCTTGTTTTGAGTATTTCTGTCCCTGAAATAACCTTTTCTTTGGCTTTTCTAGATAGCTTTATTTGATTTTGAGTGGCTCATTTTTTTTTTTCGGGTTTTTTTTTTTTTTTTTTTTTAATGGCTTTTCTCTTGCTGTATGATGCAGAACTCTTTCGGCGTAAATATTTGTGTTCCCAGTACCTCAGTTGTTTGGGTTTTGCTGCCTGTATGCGTTTTGTGAAATGGTCCTGTCTTTGGGTAGGTAACACGTGGACTCTAGTATGTAAATGTTACTTGAATCTGTGCTCCATTATAGTACGTGGCATGTATGTGCGGACCTGGATGCTTTATGGCCGCCCAGCAGGAGCCCGGCCTTCCCCTTCCCACGAGGGCGGCTTCACCTTCCTGTCAGGAGACAAGGCGGCCATGGATTCTCCCTTGAATCTGCTCTGAGAATGGAAGATGGGACGGAGAGAGGTGTTCCACACCCCGAAGATGGTTCTGTGTCGAGGAGGACCTGTTTTTCTTCCCCCTCCCCTATTTTTTAAGAACCCTGGAGGAGGAAAGATTGGTGATGTGCATGGTGGGGATCTATGGCCTCTGGTGCTTTGTCCTGTATTTGGTTTAATGTTTTTTGTCCTAATCTCTTCAATCAATAAAATCGTGCGTATTTAACTAAAATGCCAGGGTCCGGCGAATGATGACTTTCTGCAAGCGTGGCTTGTGGCCATTGCACACCAGCCAGAAACTCACGTTCTCTGAGGTCTTTCTTCAGAGGTGTCCGACCTTTGGGCGTCTCAGGGCCTCACTGGAAGAAGAGGAGTTGTCTTGGGCCACACATTAAATACATTGTGACACGTAATCACAGAAAAATCTCATGAAGTTTTAAGTAAATTTAGGATTTCGTGTTGAGCCGCAGGCTGCACGCCCCTGTCATGGTGAACCATGGCTGCCGTTTATAGAAGGCAAAAGCTGCCTTCTGTCAACTGGGCACAGGCTGGCCTAAAGTTAGATGTGATATCTCACTGATTTGTAGCATTTCGGTGACTTAATCGTCAACACCGCCTTTGGAGGTGCAAATTATGTTCCTATCACAGACTAGGAAATAAGCCCAGAAAGATACAGAATTTCGCTCATGATAAACCACCTGTAGGGGATCGAGTCGGGCGTGGACTCCAAGCCTGTTGACTCCTGGAGCCTGTCCCACTCTCTGTGATTTGGGCCCAGAGGTTCTCAGGGCAAGTATCGTAGCAGCTCGGGAGCAGCCAGTGTTCCCTCGGACCCTGTCACCCAGGCTCTGACATGGTTCCCCAGGAAAACCTGCGTAGACCTCGAACCTGGTGGGGAGCTTCCCAGGAGGAGATCACCCCACTCCCAGGAGCCCTCTTCTCAGTCTGATCCACAGAACCTCAGCCAGGTGGGTGCCGTCGGCAACCCCATACCCTGTGCTCCTCCTGTAACAGAAGTGATGGCAGCCCGGGGGGCCAATTCCATCCTGAAATGTTAAGGCAGCATCTCCTGTGTCATTTCAGTGCGGGCTGGGGAGACAGACCCAGACAGGGACAGAGGCAGTGGGTGGGCAGAGTGGAGGGGCGGGGCAGGCACACACATTCCCGGAGGCCCAGAGGATGGGCACCTGCCTGTCTGAGTCTGTCGGGGGGCGTCCTGGAAGAGGTGGCAACCGAACTGGAGTCCAGAAAGAACAGGCGTCGGGAATGAAGGGAGAAGAACAGCAGTGCCACTCTAAGCAGAGAGATGAGCGTGGGAGAAGTGCACAGAGACCTGCCCGGCTGGGTGCCCTCGCTGCAGAGCTGTGGGTAAACTCATCTACTGTCCTTGCACAGACAAGTTGGTGCACAAGGACACGGCTGAAGCGGAGGCTTCCTAGCCAGTGGGACCAGCCCTCTAAATCCATTAAATGCTTATCATCTCATGATGTCACCTCTGCGTCCCCCGTGCCACCGACCCTGCGCTGGGCACCGGGGAGGTCTTCAATAAACACCTGTTAATGGAGGTATCCCTTGTGCCGGGGACTCGGTGCTGCTGAATTTCCTTCCAACACCAGGTCTCTAGGAGGCACATCATGAGAAAACAGCCTTCGCAGGGTTTGAGGCCCACCAGGGGCTTTGTTAGGGCACGGACAGGCTGATCCAATTTCTTTGCTCTTTCACTGCCTGTGATTAAGCAGGAGCAGGCCTGCGGCCTAATGAGTGGCTGTTTGAATTGTGTTCTGTCAAAGCTTTGCATGTGGGGCTCCTGGGAGAGGGAGTTGTGGGCACACGCTCCCAGCCTCTTTATAATGAGCTTCCACCTTAGTGGGGACCCGGGACCAGCAAGCTCCTTCCTCCTTAATGTCTCAAGGCTTGGCCAGCCAGAAACGTTTTATTCTCTAATTGCTTTGGGGATAAGTACGTCACCCCCTTATTACTTAATCTGGACCTGGCTCAGGACAAGGGACCTGGGCCACTGGGAGAAAGGCAGGGGTTGGGGAAGTGGTTGGCCTGGGCTCCGACTCCTTGGTCTCATATTGGTGGCACCTGAGCAAACCACTTTTATAAGGACCAAGACTGTCGAGAGGATGAGCTGAGTTAGGGTGTGTCAAGAGCTTAGACCTGCGCCAGGCTGGACTGGTGACTGCTACTATGATCAACCAAGGGCACAATAGGGCAGAGTTCCTTTGACTGGGGAATGGCACTGGAGTTGAGAATTGATCAAGTGCATTCAAGGAGAGTGACAGGGACCCACCAAGACCCCTCCCCTGCCTCATCCCAAGCAGGTTCCCTCTTACAGTGTTACATGTATAGTACTAATGTGGATTTATGGAAAGAAAGACAAAGGCTCTGCTGCTAGATATGTTTGACGCCGTTGGTCAAGTCTAACTCTTGATAAAGAGTTGGCAAAGCAACTTGGACAAAGCAACCAAGGTCCCGAGAAATCAAGGGCATCGGGAACCACCCAGAGAGGAGGTAATGGACTCCGAGTGGAGGCCAAGGTGTGCGGGAGCTTTGTAAGTGGGGGTCCCTACACACACATCAGGGGTTTTGTTGTGCACCCAACTCCTCTCACTACAATCCTAGGCCTCTTCCATGGAGGCCAGTCTATTCTCTTTGGAGTCTAGCTTGGTGGCCAGTCTTTAATGGGTGTCAGATGATAACGTGCAATAATTACAAATTATATATCAATATATTAAATGTCTGATGAAAGCGCTTAGTCATTGTGCTTTTTAGAGGCTCTTACTTATACAAGTTGGATGGTTGTCTAGTGTCCCGACAGCAGGCAAGGGTCCTGCAACTCAACTTTGGAGACTGAGTCCCTCTCTAAGCCCATGGACGACCCTTGTCGGGTCTGTGCTATTTCTGTGCATTCCAGTCCCTGGGGTGAATATACATGCTGCCACTGTGGGAAAGCTAACTTTAGGGAAATCTAAAGGTGATTGCTCCTTTAACAAAGTTAGGTTTTAAAATCTCTTAGGTTCAACCTAACCTGGCTAAGAGATGATGGGAGGAAGGATATAGGGACCAGCATCTCCCATTTAATCAATCAATTATTATTATTACCATCCAGCATTTCAAGACAGATAGCAAATGTTGCAAATGAGTGAAGTGAGCCTCTAAGAGACTACCTTAATTGAAGGAGGCCATCCAGTTAGTTAACACAAACTCCTGTGTTTGAACCTGGCTTCACAATCCCTACAGCTGTTCCACGCTGGCAAAGGGAATGGCTTTCAGCACAGAGACCTAAATGCTGAACCCTGGAGGCTGTGACCATGGCCCCTTCTCCCCTCTCCCACCCATCCTGTGAATGTTTTCGGCAGCTCCCTGAGGAGTTCTCTAGGAAATCGTTACAGTACCTACTGATGTGGGTTAGGTAGCTGGGTTGTGCAGCTACTTCACACTAGTTATTGACTTAGCATCCAAAAGGGGAGCCTGCAGTCTTACAGCATCTTCCCCTCCAGGAGTGATAGTTCTAAGCAGGAGAGGAGGGCCATGTCTTTAGACTTTGAGGCATCAGGGTTCTAAGGATCCCAAATCTCTGAAAGAATCCACCAAGAGGCATCAGGGACCCAGGTTTTCCCAACCAGGACATTGACTTCTTCATAACAGACCTGGCTGTGTTACACATTCAGTTGACTTCGATGCTCTACATGAAGAATTAAATCCTGAGTTCAAACTTCACCGTTTTGTGTTCTGCCACTAAACCAGAAAATAGCATCTCAGTCAGATACCAAAGAGGCCCTCTGGCCTTTGCTCTCAGTTTTCAGTTGCATGTTAACCACCCTCAACCTCTCATTGCCCCTCTGTACTGCAATGCAACCCCATCCTCCGTGTACCCATTGTTGGCTCATGCTTTCCAAATTCTAGATTCCAAAATCTAGACTAGGGTCTATCTCTTCACCAGACAGTGACCTCAAGCTGTCTACTGGAAGCTTTAGCAATCATGCCGCCACTTTGTACCTCCTGGTATGGAGTCCTCAGTGTGGCTGGCAGGTGCGTGCCCCAGCCCCCACCCTCATCTCCCCTCCTGCTTTCTTGGACTACCCCACTCCGGGTATTACTGTGTCAGTTGCGTCTTCACCGAGCAGAAGCTAAGTTGGAACACGAATGTAGGAGATCTATCGAGGAGAAATCCCTCTGAAAGGAAGTGGGAGGAAGCAGGGCTGGGCAGCCTGCCCATAGCCGTGTGGCCCTCAGAGCCTAGGCCTTGGTACCACCCTCTTGCCTAGACGGTGGCTGGGCCATCTGGGGAAGAGCGAGACCTCAGCTCCAAAGCCGAGCTGGACGTGAATGAGATAACAGCTGCGAGCTGCCAACCAGCTTGATCCACACCATTTGTGAGGTCAAGCAAGCCGATAACTCTTAGGAAAACAAAAATTCCGCTCTGAGGATTTGGTTTCTCAATTTCAGTACGTCCTGACCACTGAGGCATGGCTCAGGCTCTGCCGGAGCGTGCTAGCTGGTGGGAGAGACGTGAGTTGAAGGCACTTCATTTTCAGTGCCAATGGGATTCCCAGCTCTCTGATCGCTCCTGGTTAAAAAGAAATCAATTCTGACTTCAAAGGGAAGTACACATCCTCCCTGGAACACCCCGGCCCATGGGAAGGAGAAACAATGGGGTGACATCCTAAGGCT